ATGCGGAGGGGCGGCGATGAACAGGTGCCAAACAGGCTCCACGCGAGGGTTCATTTGTCTGAGGCCCGGAGCTGTGCGTGGCTCGCTTGTCAAAGGAACTGGAAATGGCCTGGGAGGGGGAAGCCGTCCCCGCCCTGACCCTGGGTAGACTGTGCTTTTTCCAGCACGGAGACAGGTGATCAGGTGGTGAGGGGAGCTGCGGCCGGACCGAGGGGGAGGAAGACTTGCCTCGGCCTTGATTTGGCCGCACTGGGGCTTGAACGCAGGATGTTCCCTCTGAGCTATGTCCTGGCGCCTTTTTCAATTTCTTATTTGAGGCAGGGTCTCCTTAGATCACTAAGGTGCCCCATCTGGGCTTGAACTTGCGATCCTCCCGCCTCGGCCCCAAGTGCTGGGATGACAAGCGCCTGGCACCCTCTGCTGCAGCGGCTGCCCACATCCCTGGGCCAGGGTCCCCCCGGCCAGAAGGTGGCTGGCGGTCGTCAGGGGTCGGCAGCTCCCACCCCACAGAGGCCTCCCTTTCCAGTTGCCTGTCAGCAGCATTCTGAAACTGCTAAGAGAAAAATTCCAGAAATAAGCGATCTTGCGCTGTGAATAAGGCGCTGGGGTAACTTGATGAAATCGGGAGCCAGGGCCTCCCTGCCGCACACAGCGACCCACAGGCGCCCGACTGAGCCCCAAGGAGGAGAGCTGAGCTGAGGCACAGGGCAGGTGTGGCGGAGGGTGTATCCCGCAGACGGCAGCAGTCCCGCGGACGGTCCCTGGCCTCTGGGCTCACCCTCTGCCCACGCGGTGTGGACGCCCTTTGCAGACGTCACTGGCGCCTTCACCCAGAGCACAGGCAGAGTGGAGAATGGGCGCTGGGCCGGCCTTGGCCCTCACCCGCTGCCCGTGCCCAGAACGGTGGCCTCTGTTCCCTCCCGGGAGGGCCTGCTGCTCCACACGGCAGCTCCCTTGCTCCTGCCTGGCCTCCCGCAGCTCAGCCTCTGCCCAGGGCAGCCTGGAAACCAGCAGCCAGCACCCCTTCAGCCTAGGAGGCGGAGGGTGGGGGACGGTGCAGGGGTGCCCACTCCCGCTCCAGGGTGTGGTGTACGCCTCTCATCCCAGCACTTGGAGGCTGAGGCAGGAGGACTGCAGGCTGCAGCCCAGCCCGGACAACTTAGCGAGACTCTGTCTCAAGACAAAGAGTAGAGAGGGACGGGGGATGTGGCTCAGCATGCAGGCCCTGGGTTCACTCCTCACCACCACAAAACAAAGCAAGAACAAAAACTCCCCGAGCCAGAGGCTGGGGACTCTGCTGCCAGGGTAGGCCTGTGGCTGCTGTGGCCTAGAAGGCCCCACGGTGAAGTCTCACTCACCCGAGTGCCGTCAGTCTCCAGAATGCTTTTCTGTCACCATCAGCGCCCCACACTTTCCTGTGCATCCCTATCTTTGGAGCCTCATACATCTGAGCCTAAGTGAAGGCCAGGCCTCTGCTCCAGCCTCCCCCCTCCGTGCCAGATGTTTTTATTTTGAGACAGAGTCTTCCTATGTACCTCAGGCTGGGCTTGAACTGGAGATCCTCCTGCCTCAGCCTCCCAGAGTGCCGGAATGTTTGTGTTTTCAACTGAGAGCACAGAGCCGGACAGGCTGGATAATTTACTGTAGGCCATGAAAGCTGCTCGGAGCTGGGATGCGAGCCTTGGGCTTAGGGGGCTCCTCATCGCGGCACTGGCCTTCCCGCCACACCGGCAGAGCGGGAATGGAGGGCAGCCCCCCCCGTCTTGTGTCCACAGCCAGACAGACCCCGTGGAAGAGTCGCAGGAGCCGTGCCTGTATTCTCGGGAGTCCCGGAAGTTCTTGTGCCAGCTTCCAGTTCCAGAGGGGGACACCTCCACCCGGATGGTGTCCGCCTGTGTGGCCAACAGTGCTGGGAACAGGACCAGCAGCAATGAGGCGGTGCAGGTCACTAAGATCTGTGAGTGTCTCGGCTTCCGCCTGGTGTGAGGGACACCTCCGAGGGGAGGCAGTGACGGGCCGGAGCTGTGGGTCTGCTTGGGCCAGGCGGGCGTCCAGTGCGTGAGGGGCTGGGCGGTGGAGCGGGCTGGATGGGCCCAGAGGGCGCTCTGCTGTCCACGCCCTGAGGAGCCCACTCCCGCCCTCAGTGAAGCCCGACCCACCCGCCAACATCACCGTCACTGCCGTGGCCGGGCACCCGCAGTGGCTCAACGTCACCTGGAAAGACCCCTGCTCCTGGGACTCTGACTTCTACCGGCTGCACTTTGAGCTGCGGTACCGGGCAGAGCAGTCCAGGGCCTTCACGACCTGGCTGGTGGGTTCCTCCCTCCGGGATGGGCGCGGTGTGGGGTGCCGGGAGGGCGGGGCGGGGACCCTGCTGTGTGCCACCCTCTGCGGGGCTGTTCCCTTATGTTGGTGGTTCAGGGCTTGTGTCCCACCGAAACACTGATACAGTGTGATTTGGCACCAGCATATCTGTGTTTCTATTGCCTCAACCAATTGCCTGGGCCAGTGTTACAATGTTTTGGTCAGTATTCCTTGATGGAAAAGTTGTCCCCAGTGCAGACATAGTCCTAGAATGCGTGGAGACAATTCTGTCCCCCCACCTAGTATGATTTCATTCTCAAATAGGATTTCATTCTCAAAGAATCTATGTGGGTTTTTTTTTTTTGAGAGAAGTTGTCTTAAAATATAGCTCCTGGAGCGAGTGGAGCCCCGAGGCCAGAGCGGCCCCCTGGACAGGTACCTGGGTCGGGGGGTAGGGAGGGGTGTCTGGCCGGCAGCCCCCAACTGCTGCAGGGGCCAGAAATCAGTCGGTGGCGGCCGGGTCCCTTCCAACAGGCCGGGCAGCCCGCGGGGATGGGCACTGCGCGCTCAGGCTGCGTGGGCACCGGCGAGCCGCATTTGACCGGGCGATGACGACCGTCGTCGCTCGGGGGATTAATAAAGTTAGCGTGCTCGTGATGAAACAAACTCCAGAAAACTACGAGGAGCTAGTAGTGATCGCCAGCACTTTTACCACCTAGGGAAAACTGGGAACATGTTAGTGTACTTTTTTCCTAAGCACATTTGTATGTGTGTTATATTGTAAGCATTCTCCATGTTATCACATTTTTGGGGAAATGTATTATTTAGCGTGAGTAAATTATGTTTATCCTTTAGGAGTTTTTCTTTCTTTAAATAACTGATGTGCGTGCGTGTGTGTGTGTGTGTGTGTGTGTGTGTGTCTGGAAATTGAACCCAAGGCCTTTGCAATCAGCTACATACCCAGCCCTTTTTTAACTGTTCATTTTGAGACAGGATCTCACCTAATCACTAAGTTGCCCCGGCTGGGTTTGAACTTTTGATCCTCTTGCCTCGGCCTCCTACAGCACTGGGATCAGAGATGTGTGTCCACTGTACCACCAAGCTGACTTTAAGGAATGTTTACCAGATCAGTGCAGCCCTCGGCTAGATGGGACAGGAGGACTCGTGGTCCTGAGCGGGGCCTGGACCCGCCTTCCTGCTTCTCACCCTGCCCCTGCTTTCTGTCCCCGGCTGGGCCTTCCTCAGGACAAACCTACTCTGTTGCCGTTTTTTTTCCCCTGATAAATCCGCTTGAGACAGCGTCTCCTACACTCGGCTGTGGAAGATGAGGGGTTTGGGAACCTCCCTGACCACCCCAGCGATGCTCCCAGGCCCCTTGAAGCCTATGGAGACCCAGACACCCGCTCCCCACCCACCGTCCACTGGGTCCCGCGTTCTGTGGCTGTGGCTTCCAGGCTGACTCCTGGCTGCTCGAGCCTGTCCAGCCCTGCGGCAGAGCTGACAAACTCAGTCTTTAGGACTCGTCAGTCGACAGGAGCGAGGCCGCATTCCCTGGCTGCGCACACACTGTAAGGAGAGAGGGCGCCAGCTGCCTGGCCCCGTCCCCGCCCTGGCCCAGGAGGACGCAGGCTTGGTGAGGCTGCGCCCGCCCCTGTTGGACAAGAGCCCCTCTGACCTGCACCCCGCGGTGCCGGGTCCTGGGGAGAGCCCAGGGCGGGCTGCGGGCAGGCTCCGAGCTGGGCAGGCTCCGAGCTCTGCGGCTGCCCCTTTCTCAGAAGCTTACTTCCTGCTGCCACCTGGACAGGAAGGAGGGCCTGACCACATGCGGAGCTGGGGAAGGGCATTTAAATCGGCCGTGCCCTGGGCCGGCTGTCACCACCGCGGCCAGTCTCTGACCAGGACGCTGCTCCAGAGTTGAGCACAGTGCAGCCTTTGGGAGAGAACAAAGTGGGTCGGAACCTTCACTGTGGAAACGT